GTGTCGATGTTGTACGTTGGCAGCGGTTAGCCATACTATCGGGATCAATGAGGAGGATGACGTGGTCGTGTGTAGAAGGCATTCATCTCATAAATCGCTCTTGGTTAATTGCCACCGGCAGAAGGGATGCAGAGAATTCCGTCTACGCCTTCACCATCTCTTCGTCACACCAACACCTGCTATGCTGATTTGGTCGACCAACTGGATTTTCATTGGTAATTGCAAGTCTCCGATTGGGAGGGAGGAGGAGGCCTGCTGTAACAGCATACATCAAATCTTCCCCCTCCCCCTTGCAACTAACTCTTCAGTGACCACAGGTGGACAAATCGCAGTTTTAGTGTCCAAACACGGACGATCAGCAACAAAACCACCGTCTCACAGCTGATGGGAGTACAAGCTGGTGAGAATTGGCAAATAGCGTCCATGGCATGGTCATGTGAATTGACGAGTCAGTCAAATAGCGCTTTTGCAAGTAGAGTCACTTAAGTGTCACACAAGTCTCCCATTCCGTTGTTGCCAAAGGCCCACTTATTCCAATCACTTCTTCCCAGTCAGTACGCAAAGTTCGCTCACTTCAGTGATTGTGAGAGCTAGCAGAGGACTTTTGAGTTACCACTTTGTCAGTCCACATTTTCTTTTCTCAGACCTACACCTTACTCACCTCACTTCATTTGCATAGTGTGCAAAGACTCCCTTCTACTACAGCCACATCGATAAAAGTAACCGTCACAAAATTGACAACCACTAGCCTTGTCGACAAGCCGAACACTTTTTATTTGTCAAGATTACGTCCCATAGCATCGGAAATGCGTTTGCATATTGCCTTGTGACCACGTTCATAGGCGATGGACCACGCTGTCTTCTCTCCTGTGGCTGTCGCGTGCACGTCAGCGCCTGATGGAAGAGAGCAAGGCGGTGAGGGTGGGGCGTGATGCAAGACCTATCAATGCATGCTTAAGGTGTCGCCTACACAGACGTCTGCAATGAGTGAAGTAGCAGTTGCAAAGGAGCAGAAAATGCCTTTCATTGGGTATGACATGAGCATGACATACCAGCGTTTAGGAGGCAATCCACCATCTTCTCCCCTCCGATTCTCGCCGCCAGCATGAGCGGTGTCCAGCCCCTCTTGTTCCTCACCTCCATGTTGGCACCAAATGACACGAAGTATTGGATGACAGGCATGCAGCGTCCCCGAATAGCTGCGAAAATGGGCGGATCAAGGAATTCATCCGACCGGTCGATGTCGCCTCCATGCCTCACCAACAAGCGCACGATTTGCATGTGACCCTTGAGGGCAGCTTGCTCAAGCGCTACATGCAGACACTTGCGTTTGGCAGGCGGACAGCAATTGGTCACCAGAATGAACTTCGCCAACTCATAGTCGCCCTAGTGGCAGAACATGACAGCCATGCATACAACAAGCATTTTCCTGCATAGTTAGTTATTTGCCTTAGCAGCACAAAATGTCGAGCTGCGA